CGGCAAAACTCGGCAGCCACGTCGGGAGAAGTCGAATCGGCGGAAATCGGCAGGCTACTATGCCTTCATTGGGAAATCGGAGTCCAAATCGGAATCTGAAATCGGATCGAATCGGACTCGGAAGCCATCGAAGTTGCATCAAATCGAATCGGAGGAGTCGAAGCGCGCCCTGTTGACCCCCGTCTCAAGGCTCCCGAACACGCCGGCAGACCCGAACTCCGGCGAACCTCGAGCCTTGACTGCCTGCTCCCCGACCGGTGGCCTCTCACCTGGCGCTGCCCGATCCCGGCCGATGCCGCCTGGCCCGAGTGAGCCAGGGGATCGGGCGGGGGGCCCAAGAGTGGCCCTCGAGGCCCCTCCTCCTCCTCCTCCTCATCCCTCCTCATGCCTCCCTCCCTCCTCCTCCTCCTCCTCCTCCTCCTCCTCCTCCTCCTCCTCCTCCTCCTCCTCCTCCTCCTCCTCCTGTCACCCTTGGGGCCCTCTTCTTCACCCACCCTGTGGGTCCCCCCCCCCCAGTATCGCCCGCCCGAGAGGGGGGCACTCCTCGAGCAGCTGGTCCTCGACGATATCCTCGCAGAGGGCCTGCGGGGGAGCGCGGCAGGCGCCCGCCCGCTCGTCGAGTGCTCCTGTGCCTCCTCGCGCGCAGCAGGGCTCCTCGTGTCTGCCCTCGTCGCCGCGCCGGCTGGAGCCGCGCAGTGACGGCGACCCTGGGAGCAGCTCGTTCCGCGAGGGACTCAAAGCCTCTGGCCGAATTCTGCTGGTGCAAGAGCAGAGCAGCGACAGCAGGGACAGTGCGCCTGTGCCTGCTCCTCCTGCTGTTCCTCCTGCTCCTCCTCCTCCTCCTTCGCCTCCTACTCCTCCTCCTTCTCTTCCTCCTCCTCCTCCTCCTCCTCCTCCTCCTCGCCGTCCTCCTCCTCCTTCTCCTCCTCCTGTTCTTCCTCCTCCTATCCTATTCCTTCTCCTTCAAAGTAACTTGTCCCTGTCTCACCCCGAGGCCAGTTTTTAGGGTGGGCGTTTCGCCAGAGACGACCTCAGTATTTATGATTCTAAAGCGTAAAAAGTGGCAACAGTTTTACAGTTGGAGGACGGGTGGTTCTTCAAAATGTGGCTCTCGCCTTAACGCCGCGTACATTCGTTTTAAACAGGTGCAAGATCTTCACGGATTGAAGGCGGGTCGTTTGCAAAACGTGACTCTCGACTCAGCGCCGCGCACATTCGTTTTAAACAATTGCAATAGTTCCACTTATTGAAGGCGGTTCCTTTTCAAAATGTGTCTCTCGCCTGAGCGCCGCGCACATTCGCTTTAAAAGTTTGCAAGAGATTCACCGATTGAGTGCGGGTGGTTCTCAACATGTGGCTTTCGCCTTAGCGACGCGCTTCACAGATTGAGGGCGGTTTCTTTTCAACATGTGGCTCTCGCCTTTGCGCCGCGCGCACTCGTTCGTACATTTTGGATGAGTTTTACGGAATCCCGGGATCAACTTGACAAAAACTGCGTTTTGGAAGAATTCCGGATTATGCGGGTGCAGCAATCATGTTGAGTCGCGGTGTCGAAACCCCAAAGATGGCGTGATGGCACGATTCCGGATCGTCAAATCGCAGCAGTCAGGTGGATCTGTGGCGTTGAAATCCCGAAGACCATGTTTTGGCATGCTTCAGGGTCTTCATGGGAGTCTTCCAACGAGGCAGTTCCCTCAACGGAAATGAACCGTTGCCGGGGCCTATGAAGATAGAGCTTGGAGGGAGGGTCAATTCCAACATCGTTGATGGTTCGTTGTTTTACATGGTCCTCCTCCTCCTCCTCCTCCTCCTCTTCCTCCTCCTCCTCCTCCTCATCCTCCTCCTCCTCCTCCTCGTCCTCCCCCTCCCCCTCCTCGTCCGCAGCCATTATGGCTCAAGGCGGCCCGAAGGAGCCGTCAGGCGGCGAGCGCGCGTGGAGAGCGCGGGCGCGAGCGGCATGCAGCATGGCCGAACCGCGCGCAGTGCTCGGTTTGGCGTCCCGGGGTTCGGTCGACATCTTGTCGCCGATCATGACCGAAAAAGTGGTCGACGCAGTGCGTGGCGAAGGCGCCGCCGCCGTTCTTGACCGAATGGTGGCGGCAAACTCGGGAGGAACGGGAAAAGCTGGCTAAAACGCTTTGGGAGAACCGCGTCCAGGCAGAGCGGCTGGCGCGCCCAGCCGGTCCGGAACCAGCGTCCAAGAGGCGGCCGCACGCCGAGGCTGCCCCGCGGTCTCTTCCGCATGCGCGGGCCCATGGCAAGGTGGCCAAGAAGAAACCGGCGCAGCTGCAGAGATGAAGAGCAGAAGGTCGCACCGAGGGCGGCGGCGGCGCCAGCCCTGACACACTGGCCTCCGCCTCCATGGAGGCTGCGCCGGGTCGCCGCGATCTGGCGGGGGCTCCATGGCGGGCGACGTCGAGGAGGAACCCCAAGCAGGCGATGATAATCCCCGTGGGATAATAAAGCTCGGGGGTCTGGGGGGGACAATCAACGATTTCCCCCTGGGAGGCGATGTTGATTAAGTTATGATGCTGGTGGCGATGCTGATGATCTTGGGCGCTCGCGTAGACTGACTTTTTAGATCTCGGCACAAGACTGACTCGAGAGATCGAGGCTCGTGGCTACAACTTGCCTGCGCAAGAGAGGTCCTCGGCGCTTCTGGCCAGGAAACCTCTCTGGCGCACGGCCTCATCCACTCGCCCAGGCCTGCACCGAGCCTGCCTGCAGGCTCGGTGCAGGCCTGGGCGGCAGCGCTTACCTCCTCGAAGGTAGCGCGCGTCGGCTCGACCGCCGTGGGGTCCTTGAAGGGCTTGGATTTTACCTTGCTCTTGGCCTTGGGCTTGTTGCTGGCTTCCACGAGTTTGTTGATCCACTCGTTGCCTCGGGCGCGCATCGCGTTGATGCTCGCGGGTGCTTGGCGGCCCTGGCCTTGGATCTCGCGCAAGGCGAGCTAGATCCAGCGACTCGCCCACAAAGCGCAGGGCCAGGCGCCGGCCTGGAACATCTCGCTGCTCCTCGCAGGGCAGGTCTCGCCAGGGCCGATGGCGCCGAGCTTGCGGAGGATCCTCGCGGCGGCCTTGGGAGGCCACATGCGAACCCAACCCACGATTTCTGAAGAGGAGGGCGGGGTTCACTTCGTTCGGCAGCTCCCGAGCAAAGTGAACCCTTTTTACCTCCCCCTCAGAAATCGCGGGGTGTAGGTGCGAGTTCGCATGTGGCCCTTTAGTCCTGCTTGGCGCTCTCCGACGGCAGCTTGAGGGCGTCGCGGTACTCCACCGCGACGCCCCCGCCGATCCTCGAGACCTTGGCGGGCGTTGCTACAGGTGCCCCCTGCCCAGGGCGCCTGCAGGATTCGCTCCAAAACGGAACTAAAAACTGGGCGCGCCATGGGGCAGGGGCAACTGCGGCAACCGCCGGCCTTGAGGTAGGTGTAGCGCGCGGTCGATGCTCAGCCGACACGTCTTGAGCCAGAATGGCCACGGACCCGTCTCGGGACGGTCTTGGGGGCCTCTTGGGACGTCGTGGAGAGCCAGAAGCTAGAAAAGCCGAGCGCCCCGAAAACAGTCCCACAAAAAACGTATGACAAATCAATGGCCTTTGCCCCTTGGAGCCCTCTGGAGAGGCGCTGGGTGGGCCAGCCCCTCTTGAGCAGTCTGGGGGCACCTTGGGACGGAAGCTCGAAGTGTCCTTTCGGGCTCCTGCTCATGGGCCCCTCTTGGGGCCATCTCGAGGCCCTCCCGGGCCGTCTTGGGCCAAGAGGGCCGTCTTGGGACCCTCTTACCCCGTCTTGGGACCCTCTTGGGGGCCTCCTGGGCCGTCTTGAGGCGGTCTTGGGGGCTTCCTGGGACGTCGTGGAGCGGCGGGGCCTCTGTGACGCCACCTGAGGCCGTCTGGGCGGCCCTCGGGCCGCTGGAGAGTGTGCCCTGGGATCCTCCTGGCGCCTCCATGGCGATTCGGGGCAGCTGGGCGAAGGCCCCCGACCCGGTACCCCGATATATACATATATATAATATAATATGATATACAAACTATATATATATATACATACATATATACATACATACATACACACATGCATCTGTACATATGTGCGTATGTGTGCGCGCGGGCATAAGGTGTCGACGTCGGTGCTGTTCGCATGAGGTCTCGATTTTGGTGCTGTTCGCAAAGGCGAGAGGGAGGAACACGAGGGTGTGGGAGCTCCACCAGGGCCACGTATCCATCCAGAATCCAAGAGCTTTTTTGGGAAACACACCGCAGGATCCCGACCATAATGAAAACCGCGCGAAATGCCGGACAGAGCCCATCTGTAAACATATAAATAGACACATACACACATCCATACATCCATACATCCATACATCCATACATCCATACATACATACATCCATGCATCCATACATACATACATAAATATATACAAACATACGTACATACATACACGGGTGTATCACCCATATGTGTAGCCTCTCACTCTCTGATTATATGGCTCTCTTCCCCGTCTCTCTATACGTATATATATACACACATATATATAAGTATACATATATATGTATAAATATGTTACCTCCCTTTTCGCTCTGCCTCTCTCTTTCCCTCTCTCTCTCTCCCTCTCTCTCTCGCAGTCCTCTCTTGCCGTCCGTCTTCTCGTCTATGTACACGTACACATGTATCCCTCCTGTGGCCCGCCTTCCTGCTATCCCTCTACATCTCGCTTCTGCATCTGGGAATATCCTCACCCTTACCTTTGTAGCCCGGAGTCTGGGCCGCCACGGTTGGAAATAATGGTCGTGGGCGCAACGGAGTGCAACATCGCAGCTGAGAGCGAAGTCGTGATGGCTGAAGGATTTCTACCACAGCATCATGCTGAACATCTCCGAGTGCAGACGCCACTCAGAACCTCCCAACGTCGCTCAGGGCAGTGAAGCGACTTGCCCTCTCCACGCAGCCTCACATCTTGCCGATGGATGCTCCTGCCGATGGCTTGACCTCCCACTCTCTTTTTCAGCAGGCTAGCACGGTATTCCAGCGTGCCCACAAGTCGGTTCAAAGGTTTACGGCGATCGCCGGCAGGAACCTTTACCTAATTAGCCCTACTCCGCGGTGCAGGCATAATCGAATCCCGCACGCTCAAGCGCAGGGGGGGGGGGGGAACTGAAGAGCTGGTGAGCAATCGGTCAAGAAAGATGAACGTACACGATGCGAAGCAATTGCTCCGAGAAGGAAACGGACATGGCGAAGGCGCAACCGAACAAGGGCACCAGGAGAGAACGACAAGCAAGTGCAGCGCAGACAGGATGACGCACGCCTTCGGAGTCCGGCCCCGGCAGATCTCGTAGGGTGGAAGTGGGCGGGGAGTTGCAGTCTGCCCCCGCACACCCCCGAATCTGCCATGGATGAGGCCAACGTGACGCGAGGGAGCGGGACAAAAAGAGACGCACGGGTGTGGCAGGCCCAGCGGCGAGGGCCAGGAGAAGGGGGGGCGCTCGAGCATGCAGACGCAGCAAGCAGGGGCAGAAGTGGGGAGCGCGGTGCAGCGGGGGTGGGGATGGGAAAGAGCGGAAGGCAGGGCAAAGGATCCAGGAGATGCGGTGGGGGAACTATATATATAAACATAAAGAGAGGGAGAAAGAGAGAGAGAGAGAGAGAGAGACGGCCACAGACATACAATATACGCGTATAAAGGTGGATCGGTCTCTCTCTCTCTCTCTCTCTTTGTTTTTTTGTTGTTCTCTCTCTCTCTCTCTCCCTGTCTCTCTCCCTCTCTCTCTCAATAGAAGGGTCGGGGTGAGGGATTGAAGTTGAGGAGGGGACTCAGAGGAAGTGAAGCCTAGGTGGGGAAGAAGCGCAAAGAAGGGAAGTCGATTGGGAGAGGAGCAGAGGTAACACGGAGAGGGGAAGGGGAGGAGGGCGGGAGGGAGGAAGCCAGGCCGCCTATCTTCACGCTTCGCGCCGCGCGACGCGACAAGTAGACAGCAGGAAGAGGAGGGCTCAGCCTGGATCAAGCAGTGGCGGCAGCATGCGGAAACTCACTCCGCGGACAAACTTAGGAGGCAACTGCTGGGAGGTCTTCGCCGGAAGGAGTAAGGAGGATCACGCCCCAGTGGGGGAGCTCTTGCGCCGGAAAGGGCCTCGGATGAAGCGGGACTAAGCCGGATCAAGCGGGATTGAGCCGGATTCGGCGGGACTCAGCCGGATAAGCCGGACTTCGGACCAGGGCAAAATCAGAATTTGACCTCCCAGGATGAAGAGGCCCTGGGACACACAAATAAATACACACAAATAACAGGATTACCTGTATCTTCCTATATTGTCTGGGTGTTTGTCTTCCCCCCCTTCCCATATTTCCCCACATTTTCTTCGGGAATCGACGATTCATTGTACCTGTGTGTTTTTGTTCCCTCCTGACTCGGACCAGGGCAAAATCAGAATGTGACCTCCCAGGAGCTGCATCCGAAACAACAGGGTGAAACAAGTACACTTACCAGCCTCGAACGTATCCCTATCCCTAAGATCGATACGCCCAAAGGCGATGACAATCCTGGGGATCCGCCCTCCAAAAATAAGGGAATCCCTAAGATTGGCACCGTGAGGAGGAGGTGCCCAGCATAGGGATAGGGATCTGTTCCAGGCTGGTATAATACAGGGAGGGCGCGGTGCGCCCGCGTCAGGGCGCAGGCTCGGCGAGCCGCGGGGGGCCAGCCGCCCCCATTCAGGACCTCCCGGCGGGAGCGCACGGGGAGAGCGGCGCGCGAGCAGGGACCGCGAGGGCTCGGGCAGGGTTTTGGGAACAAATGGTCCTCGATGGTTCTCGCCGAGAACAAATGCACACGTCCGAGCGACGCCAAGCCAGGGGCGGCGCCGCCAGCGGGCCCAGCCCAGATCCAAGGAGTCCGCGAGCGGAGCCCTGACAGTCTTTGTATGTGTGCAGTTGTTTGTTCCGATTCGAGTGCAGGCGGGCAGGACGGCAGACAACGTGCCAGGCGGAGATGTATCCAGATCCACCGCCAGCGGAGCCGAAGCCCTAAGACCCCAGGGGGGGGCGGGGGGGGTCCCTGGAGATCGATCCACCAGGCGGCGGTCATGGATCAGTAGATCCCGCCTCGGGCACAATCCTGAGGAGAACAATTATCGTGTTGGGAGGAACGGGTCGGGAGGATTAAGGGCATGAGCAATAGCATCCGGATGCAATGAACGATATCTTCGGCCGCTCACGGGTAAGTGTAGCCTCACGTCTCAACCCCATCCTCCCGACCCGATGATTGTCTGACTGATATCCGAATCCAGCTTTCAAGACAGCTGGGGCCAGCAGTTTGACAGTTACAGCACAAGGGCGCCCGAAAAAATGCGAGCGCGGGAAGCGCGCTGGGAGGGAGGCTCGAGGCGTAAGCTTCAAGACGGAGGACTAGGAAGAGGAAGAGGAGGAGGAGGAGGAGGAGGAGGGGAGGAGGTAGGGAGGGTAGGGAGAAGGAGGGAGGATGGAAGGAGGAGGGAGGATGGAGGAGGAGGGGAGGAGGGGAGGGAGGAGGGAGGAGGGAGGTGGAGAGGGGAGGAGGGGAGGAGGGAGGGAGGAGGGAGGAAAGGTGGAGGAGGAGGAGAGGAGGAGAGGAGGAGGAGGAGGAGGAGGAGGAGAAAGAGAAGGAGGAGGAGGAGAAGAGGAAGAGGGGAGGAGATGGGAGGAGGAGAGGAGGAGGAGGGATGATTGAGGTGGAGGAAAGAGGGAGTAGGAAAGAAAGGAGTGGAAGTAGGAGGCGGAGATTGGGAGGACGAGTAGGAGGAGAGGAGGGAGGGAGAGAGGGGAGGAGGAGTAGGAACAAGAGAGGAGGAGGACGATCGAGGTAACGTTCTACGTCGGGCGTTTAATCGCGCGGCGAGAGAGCGGGAAACACCAGGGGAGCGTTTTCCTTCTTACTCCTCCTCCTCCTCCTCCTCCTCCTCATCCTCCTCGGCCTCCTGCCTGCTCTGCTCCTGCTCCTCCATCCTCCTCCTCCTCTCCTCGCTCCTCCGTGGCCTCCTCCTCCGCGTGCTCCTCCTCCCTCCTCCTCCTCCTCCTCCCTGACTTCCGTCCTCCTCCTCCCTCCTCCTCCTCCTCCTCGTATCGCGCCCTCCTCCCTCCTCCCCTCCTCCTTCCACTCCTCCTCTCCTCCTCCTCCTCCTCCCTCCTCCTCCTCCACCACCCCTCCTCCTCCTTCCTCTGCTCCCTCCTCTCCTCCTCCTCCTCCTCCTCCTCCTCCTCCTCCTCCTCCTCCTCCTCCTCCCCCTCCTCGTCCTGCTGTAATCAAGCGCGCTGGTCACCGCACCACCTTGCGCAGCCGCTGCGTCCGTGAGGGCACTTCTCGCGTTGCCGGCGCGAGTCTCGCCTCAGTTCTGCATCACCGCGAGAATAAGCTCCACTAGGATGGTGCAACATGGCGGTTTGTACTAGATAGATCTTACGTGGTGGGTGTCTGACTGGCTCGTATGGCCAGTCTCTCGTCATCAAGCGTTCGAATACTGGTCGCTCGAACAGGTCACGCAGGGGAGCTGGAGCTCTGCGTCTAGACTGCAAGTGCAACGTTGGTACAGTATGGCTACATGGTGGGGTAGAGGTATAGCAATCAGGGGAGGGAACATGCAGTATACATGACATGCTCCAACTATCCTCTTGCGAATTGCTGCCATGCCAATCTATGGCAGTCTGCCCACCACATTCGCTCTCTCTCCCTCTCTCTCCCTCTCTATCCTTATCTCTCTCTCTCGCTATCCCTCTTCTTTCTGCGAAGTTGGAGAATAACATGCATGTGGTCTAAAACAACTGCTCCATACGAGAACGCAATACAACATCGGCACGGGCCGATCAAAACAACTCCAAAACAACACCTATAAGCATGATGTACTCTTCTCTGCGGTACAGGAAATCGGACTGGAAATCGGCAGAACAAAAACCTGAGAACGCCGACAGTTAGAACATCGGCGAACGAAGAAGCACCAGCAGAATAGATCAAACGATTGGGTACGAGACTGCTACTTCTAGACGGCGAGCCCAGGGGGAAGTGAGAAGAGGCGGGCCTTCTCAGAAAACGGTGGGGCTTCTCAGGAACCTCGTGCCTTCTGAAAAGTGTTTCGTGTCTTCGGGGGAACTTCTCAGATGGCCGGAGGCCTTCCGAACCTTCTGGAAAAGGCACGCCCCCTCTAACATCCCTCCCGGACTCGCCGTCGAACCGCTGCACGACTGCCTCTTGTGTTCAGAGAGGGGCACATTGGTAGGTATGGCATTGTCGCAGAAAGGAGGTGCTATCGTGAATAACTCGGGGGTGCAAGTCATGTCTCCGGCGTTGCGACCATCCGCCACCGTCGATCCTCATGTTTCCCTGCGCAGCCTCCTCCGCAGGTCGCGGTGCTCCTTCAGCACGAGCGGACCGAGTACCTCCGACGACTCGTCTCAGGCCCCGCCCCAAAATGATGAAACGCGGCTGGGGGGAACGACTGGCTCAGGGTGGCAAACCACGGCCTGGAATCGGCGACGCATCGCCGATCGATCGGCGACACACCCCCGAGAAGTGGAAAGCCATCTGCTCTGGGACAAGGCGCCCCCCCAGGCTCCGCTCGGCGAACGATTTGGGCAAGTCGGGGTGCTCACCCCCCTCTGCGCCAGCACCCGCTAGCGGTGCCCCTGCTGCTTAAGGTCGAAACCACGTCGAATCAGAACGAACATCGAATCCGCGTCGGACCCACTCGGACCCCATGCGGAACCCGCGTCGGAAACAAAAGAAGGGCTGTAATGTTCGGACAAACGGAAGACGCAACGAAACTGACGCACAGGTTAGGAGTTAGGACGCAGCAGAGCGACACCGTTGAACCTTGCAACCCCAAGAGACAACGACGGGACGCACGGGCCTCCGCCCAACCTACTGGGAAACGTGAGGAGTGCTGAAGATGGTGAGAACACTGTGGCAGAGTTCCATGCAACGTCTAGCAATGCTGGCTGTCGACCTGCCTACGCTGGATTGCGGATGCTAGCTTGAAGGCGCTAGCGATGAGACACCAAGGAGGCAAACGCCGTGCCTCAACTGGGCGCGGCGGGTGCCTTTCTCCGCCCGCGCCCGCCTGCTCAGGCAACGCCAGGCGGGAGGGGGCACCACCACTTGCCGTCGCTCGGACGTCCATTTCCCGTGCATGTTTCGATGTCGTGCGTGTTTTTTTGCTCGATGGTCAAGGATGGTCCTCGATGGTCCTCGCCGAGAAGAAACGCACACGTCCGAGCGATGCCAAGACCAGGGGGTTCGAGGATCGAGGAAGGTCGAGGCGCTGCTGGCCGATCTCGAACGTTCCCTGGGGGGGCTGCGGAGGATCCTCTCCCTCGAGGAGTTGGCGAGCCCCCTGGTGGTTCCCTCGAGGAGTTGGCGAGCCCCCTTGGGGGACCTCGAGGAGTTGGCGAGCCCTCTCGAGGAGTTGGCGAGCCCCCTGGTGGTTCCCTCGAGGAGTTCCCGAGGGCCCTGAGCGGCCCTCCCCCTCGAGGAGCTGGCGAGCCCCCTCGGTGGTGACCCCCCTGGCCGCGTCTGGTCTGCGCTCGGACGTCCACTCCCTGTGCAGTGTTCGGTTTCGCGCGTGCTTTGTTGAAGGGGCCCTGGGAGACACAAAATAAATAGACACCAATCGAAAGGATTCCCCACATGCTTGCATAGTTCCTGGGCTCGTGTCTTCCCCCCCACTTGCAACGGTTCCCCTATCTCTTCCTGGAGATCGACGATGAATCCCACCAGCCCTCTGGGCGTCGGTGGTTTAGGGCGTTTCCTCTTCCACCCCTCCCTCTTCCCCGTCGGGGAGGGGTTTACCCCTCCCCCTACCCCCTCCCCACTGACCTGGACAGGAGGGGCGGGGAGCGGTCAGAGCGTCCAAGATGGCCCAGGACGGCTCCAAGAGGGCCTCAGAGAGCCCAAGATCGCCTCCAAGATGGCTCAAGATAGCGCAAGATGCCTGAAGATGGTTCAGAAGACGCTCCAACACGTTCCAAGACCGCTCCAAGATGGTTCCAAGTACCCACAAGAGCATCATTAGAGTGCCCTCAAAAGGCCGAAATGCTTCAAAACCCTAGCGAAAATCAATGTTTTTGGTGTTCTCACTTTTTCGTTTCCGAAGCCCATCCGAGGCCTCAAGATGGCGCCAAGATGTCCCAACTAGGCCCCAACAGGGGCCCAAGAGAGCCTCAAGACTGCCTCAACAGCGTCCACGAGCGCTCCAAGAGCGATCCCAGAGGGGTCCAGGAAGCGATTTTAGACAGTCTGGAGGGGCAACGCTAATTAAAGCTCTGCTCTTCTTTGATACATTTGCTCCAATATGCACCCCCAGAGCGCCCCGATGGCGTCTAAAAGGACCCCAGGAGGCCCCCAAGAGGCCCCCAGGAGGCCCCCAAGAGACCCCCAAGAGGCCCCAAGAGACCCCTAAGAGGCACCCAAGATGCTCCAAGAGGCCTCGGCGAGAATGCCAAATCATTGATTTCACGAAGGTTTTAGCCACATGTTAGCCTCTTGGGGGGGAGCACTGATTAAGATGACTCCAAGAGAGCCTGGGAGAGCCCAAGATGACCTCCAAGATGGCTCAAGATATCCCAAGATGTCTCAGAACGGCTTCCTCTGTGTGCTGCCCACTTCCCTGATCCAGGCAATTCCTCTGGGCATTGTTGGGCTTGTGGGGATTCGCGAAGCGTCAACAATTGTGCCTGTGTGCTTCTTTCCCTCCTGATCTTTTTGCGACATGCTCCAGGATGCTCCTTGACGGTCCTCGCCGAGAGAACAATGCACACGTCCGAGCGGTGCCAGGCACCGACGGCGGAGGCTGAGGCCCACGGGGGGCGGCCAGCGCCCGACCGAGGCAGGGAGCGCAGGGCCCGAGCTCCCGCCTGCCCTGCAGGCTCGAGGTGAGCCCAGAGAGGACACGTGGAGAGACGCAGGCATCGAGAGGAGGCTGCTCCGCCTACCTCTCTCTCTCTCTCTCTCTCTCCTCCTCCTCCTCCTTCGCCGCCTCCTCCTCCTCTTCCTCCTCCTCCTCCTCCTCCTCCTCCTCTTCCTCCTCCTCCTCCTCCTCCTCCTCCTCCTCCCCCTCCTCCTCTTCCACCTCCTCCTCCCCCTCCTCCACGACCTCCTCTCCTCGGAGAGGCCCTTGGTGAAGGGAAGGACCAAGAGATGCTGGCTGAAGGGGCGGTCGGGGACTGCTGCGTAATTACCATGTCGCGAAAACGCCGCCGGAGCGTGGTGGGTCAGAGCTGGCGGAGCGACACGCTAAGCAAACGTTGCTGACCGCATGCTGTCTGAGCAAGCTACAATTCTTTATCGGATCTTCCACTGGCTGCTGCTGGAACTGGGCTCGGGCTCCCCACGGTCGCAGGGGCGCTAAGCGCGCAAGGCGGCAGGATCGGTGTTAATGAGAGAGGTGATGAAAAGAGCTGTCCGCAACTTGCAGAACCAACGCTCGAAACTCGCAAAGCCCCCCAAGGCACGCCACTGGTAAAAGGATGGTCCCGCTCCCGACGCCGGCAGTTGCGCCACTCCGCTGCTGCTGCTGCTGCTGCGGCAGTGACTGAGATCGACCTGAGGCTTGACAAATCCCACCAAACGATGCACTGTCGCGCAATGAATCAGGCGATGCGATGCCGCTCCCGCAGAAGCACCAAGGGGAGACAAACCAGATAACGGAAGCGTGCTGCAGGCAGCGGGCTCGACGGCGCGCCGCGACGGACCTGCCTGCAGAGACCTCGACTTCATCCCGCTCCCCGCCCTGCACCCCCCTTCCGGCTTCTCCTCCCTCTCTCGGCTGGCTCACCTGCACCCCCTTCCTGGCCTCTCCCGTGCAAGGCCTCCGCCGGCTCGAGCTTCTTCGTTCTGGAGCCGACGGCCCTCGGAGCTCTCGACCCCCCCCCATGCGGTCGGGTGTTCCTAGAAGTGCCTCCAGGATTTCCGAGCAGAGCCCCACGGCCTCCAGAGCACCCCTCACGGGGCTCCCAAATGGAGCGAAGAAAAGTTGGGAGCACCTTGGGCCAGGGGCACCTTCAGCAACTCCCGATCCGAGCCTCCCGATCCGGAGCCCAGTCCGCCCAGCCACAGCTGTGACGTCCGGGACACGCATGCAGTGGCAGGCTGCTGGCCTTCTGCGGGCAAGGAGGCCAGGGCTTTGGACGAATACCACGCGCGGTTCCTCCTCATCATCCTCCTCCTCCTCCTCCTCCTCCTCCTCCTCTTCCACCTCCCTCCACCCACTCATGTGCATCTCGGGCGCCGTTCCTTCGCCTCAATGTGTTTCACCGAAGGTTCTCTACATTATCCAAATATGTGGTACTCTATCTCTGTGCTTGACATTGATACCAGCGGGTTTGAAACCATGTGCCTCTGGCTGTGTTTACTTCCCGACATCATCACATCTAGCTGTTAGCCGTTCGCTCTAGCTGTGGCCTGTGGCTTCGAGTGTTAGCCATTAGCTCAAGCTGTGGCCGCTGGGGCTAAAGGAGAGAGAATTTCACCACACGGCTGCAGGACGGCCACGACGGAGCACCACAGCTACAAATTGCATCCCAATAAGTCCGAAGACGGTTTCAAGACGGCCAACACCAGATATGCCCTAAGACGGACCCAGCATTATCCATTGCGGCTCCAAGGTTGCCCAAGTTGCCCCAAAGATGGTCCAACAATGGCGAAGATTAGGGGAACAAGAAATGACATAAACATAAAAACTCGGAGGTCCGCGCAGATTTCTCGGATCGGCGCTGGGGCCCCCCAGCGGCGCCTCCGGCGCCGCCCCTGGCGCGCTCCGCGCGCCAGGGAGGGGGGTCCAGCGCCTATCCGAGAAATCCGCGCTGACCTCAGAATTTTCATGTTTATGCCATATTTGGTTCCCCTAAAAATGGCATCAGGTTGTCCCCGACAGACTGATTCACATGAATGGGATTGTGCACTCTGACAGAGATGGAGGGGCTGGGTCACGCAGGCAACGGGCAAAAAAGGGTGTGGCACGAACCTTTTCCACGGCGGGGGGATCCTGCCCCAGGGCGTCTGGAAAGTTCATGCCGGACGAGAGGAGGAGGGAAAAAGAGTAGGAGGAGGCGAGGAGGAGAAGTGAGGAAAGGAGAAAGGAGGAGGAGAGGAGGAGGAGGAGGAGGAGAGGAGAGGGAGGAGAGGATGAGAGGGAGGAGAGGAGGAGGAGGATGGAGGAGGGAGGAGGAGGGAGGAGGAGGAGGAAGGGGGCCGGAATGAGGAGGAGGGAGGAGGAGGGAGAGGAGGAGGAGGAGGAGGAGGAGGAGGAGGAGGAGGAGAAGGAGGCGAGCCTGTGAGCCGTCCTGGGACGGGCGGTTCGCCTCGTCCAGGCGCCTCGTCCGGGCGCCTGCGCCTGCGGGGCGCAGCCTGGGGCGCCTCGCACCGGGGAGGCGCCGGCCGCGCGCTCCCTCCGGAGCCTCCAGGACGTCCATGCGAGGGCTTCAGGTCTGACCTGATTGCCGTCGCTCGGACGTCCATTCCCCGTGCATTTTTCGATTTCGTGCATGTTTTTTCCTGGATGGTCCAGGAGTCCAGGATGGTCCTCGATGGTTTTCGCCGAGAAAAAATGCACACGTCCGAGCGATGCCAAGGTCGAGGGTTACTCAAAATCCCTTATTAATCGTCCCCCGGGTCGGGTTTTGAAGGCGCCTTTTTTTGTAACTGGGGAGGTCCAGTTGATTAGGGCGCTTTTTCTGCGGATTCGAGCTCAGGGGTCCGGTTTGTGAAGGCGCCCCGTCGAAGAGGGGGGGTCCAGAACATTAGGTCGCATTTGGAGGGGGTCCGGTTTTTATGGGGGGGGAGCGATTCATGAGGTACTTGGAGTAGGCTGAGCATGTCCTCCTACAGGCGGATTTTGGACGACAAATAAAAAGCCACAGAAAAACTTCAACCAAAAAACCAGGAATAATCGAAAAATCGTCCCCGACTTTTTGTTTTAATATCTTCATACTCCTCCTGTAGAGGGACAGACCCGAGTTAAGTCTAGGGGTTTCTTTGCTAAGCGCGCTGCCCCCCGTGGGCGCACTTGCAGCACCTTCGCACTGGAAGTCACCGCAGGAAGCACGGACCCCAGGGCAGCATGGATGGCGAAGGATTATTCCTGCAGCTGCTCCCCCGCCTCCATTCTAGTCCAGTTTCCTTGTGAACAGCAAATCCTCTTCGTCGCACCGTGGGACGCGTCGTTAAGACGGTCAGAGCGCTTCGCTGGAGAAACTTGCACGACGGTCATCCAAACGCTGGAAAATTTCAACAACCGTGGCGATGGAGGGCGGAGGGTGTTCAAAGTGCCGCCCGCGCTGGTCGGTAGAACACCCTTACTCTGGAGTGGTCCAGTTCTGGTAGGTCCTTAGGCTACCCTCCGACGTCGAGTGTGGTGGGGGGGATGACGTCTTCACCGCAGAGTCCCCGGTAGAGGATGCGGAGCGCCAAGTCGCACGTCGCCGCCGAAAACCTCGCGCGCGTCACGGCGGACAGATCTGCCTGGCAGGGGACATTGGATTTACTCGTCTCTTGGGGCTGTGAAGCCCAGAAGTTGAAGCCCTCCTCCATGTAGTTGCGGGCGCGGCTGACCTCTGGGCAATCCTGTCACAAGTTCCGAAAAAAAGAAAGGGGTGGGGGTGGTTGCAGTACCTGCACGGGCGGGGGCACTGCCACCGCGTAGATGTAGACATTGCACCACTGCGGAAAATGGCGAGGAACTGATTCGCGTGGTCGGCCAGCTTGGAATGCCATTTGATAAAGACCCGATGTGACGTGGCGTCGACGTCGACGATGGCAACTCCTCCCTGTGGAGGCAGCGGACGCGCGTGAACGTGAGCATCGCACGGGCTGCCTTCGCGTAGGTGGTACTGTATCATTGGGAGTTAGTCGCGCTACCCGCAAGCGGTGGTCGTCGGTAGGGGGCACCTCGAGCTGCACGCCGTGGATGTCGTCGCTGTACGTGATGCGCACCGAGCCAATGAACTCGGCACACGCCGCAAAGTGGTACTCAACAAGAAGTCGCTCCAAACCCTAGAGGCTTCCCAGATGAGGGCCGTGTCGTGTAGATGGGGTCGGGAGATCTCGCCGCATCACCGATGCGTCGGCGATGCATCGGCGACGCATCGGCGACGTCAGCGATGCCTCGGCGCCGTCGGCGTGGAGAAAGGCGGGCTCCACAGCGAGCCGCAGCGGCGATGCATCGGCGATGCGGCACAAATCCTCCGACCCCGTCTGCTCGGACCCCAATCTGGGAGGCCCGAACGTCGTGCATGTCTGATCGTGCTCATGTCTACTTGTGCGCGCTTCTAGTTGCTCCTGGCCCCCTTCGTGGCCAGGAAAAGGCCCAGGATAGAGCAACTAGAAATGAAAGGATCTTGGCCCCCCAAAAAAGCCAAGAACTTCCGAAGAATTCGAAACGAACAATGTGTAGCGCAGGGGCACTCTACACGAAGTCGATCCTGAGCAGCTTGGTCCAAGCTGCTCTGGATCGACTTTGGGGTTGCTGCTGCTTGGGGTGGGAGACGGCGCGCGGGCTCTGCAGCGGCCCGTGCGGAGTTCTCGATCTCGATCCAGCTCGCGCGGCAGGATGGGCGCGGACGCATGCAGGGGCGGTTCCCACTTGGGCATGCAGGGCGGACATTGCTCTACTTGGGCATGCAGGGCGCGGCAGGATGGGCGCGGACATTGCTCTGCTTGGGCATGCAGGGCGGTTCCTACTCAGCCGGGGTCTCGCCTGAAGGGCAGCGCCGTGGGGCGCGCTCGCCGCAATGATAACACAGTCTGAACGGACTGATGATGGGGTCGGGCGAAAGGGGGGGATAGCAAAAGGGGGGGTTTGAAAATCAGCTCACGTAGCTGATTTTCCCGGCGCCTCCCGGCGCCAGAGGCGGCTATGTATCGAGAAATGGGCCCCTCGGTGAGGCCGAAACCAGCTGCATGCAGCAAATTTCGTACCCCCCCTTTCCCAATCCCCCCCCCTTTCGCCCGACCCGAGATGAGGAGACTCGGGACGGGAGGGTGCATGCCTGAAGGGAACATGCGCTGTCCGAGGTCCGCGCGGGTGTCTCGGATCTGCGCCGGGGACGCCCCTCCCCGGCGGCCGCCGGGAGGGCCCGGCCGCAGAGCCCAGAAGCCCGCGCGGAGCTCCAGCAGCTTTTATGTTCATGTCGTTGCTTCTTCTTCTTCTTCGGGTCGCAGCATCGTTGATGCGTCCTGGGCTTCTTCTGGCCTTCTTCTCCCCCCTCGAGGCAAGACCCTCGATCCCCGAAGCGCGAGGAGAGGATTCCCGCCACCGCGGCACGAGGTGCTGGAGTCGTAGAGGTGCGTCGACCCCGCGTAGGCGGCGTGGAGGGGAGAGCCCTTGGACGACACGAAGGTGGTGCCAGACCTGTAGGGGCTGCGGAGGCCCTGAGATCTGGGCGTTGCATGCTGTTCCACTTTGGACGTTTTCGCCCTGCTCCGGGCCCTGGGACCATCACAGGTTGATCCGCCTCGAAGAATGCAGCAGCAAGGGATCCTGGGCTCTGGTCGAGCTTTCTGCGATATGTAGCGATTTGGGCGTGACTTCGCATCTCAGGGTAAGGGGCTCCAGAGGGTTCCTCCTCGTCCTCCTTCACGCTTCTCGCTTCCCCACCCTCCTCCTCTCCCCCACCCTCCTCCATCCGCCCTCTCGCGCGCGCAGGGGGCGGCTGTGGATGCTGATGGGTGGTAGTATGGAGCATTGGATAGCTTAGGACCAAGCACGCAACAACGCATGAAGTACTGATGCAAAGCAGCGTAATGGCATACACATTGCAGGCCTTGTGAACTCTGAGGGGGCGTTGTGAGGGCAACTGATGAGATAAAGAATGAGCAGATAGGAATCGGGAACAAAGTCGTACGGCCCCATTGACGGGAATCAGGATGCGGCGAGGCCAGGCGCATTTGCCAATTCAGTAGTGGACCAACCATGAGGGAGATCGGCAAGGAGAAGATGAGCAGACAAGTGACGCACAAATAGTGGGAGGCGAGTAGAAGCGAACCAGATCAAAAGGCAGAGAGCATCGGCGAAACGGAGAGGAGGTCCGCGACGCCTCGGCACCGCGACATCAGCTCCGCCACCACGACCCCGAGAGCTCACGACGCGACGACACGACGGGACGAGAACACTTTCACACCGCCGACGCCACACCACGACACGGCCACACCACGGCGCCACGACGCCACGAGACAGCACGGCACACCAAAAAACCGTCACCGCACGGCACCACCAGACCGGTAGACCACGATACCGCGACACTACATCGGCTACACGCAAGAGTGACTCTGGGTAAGAGTGACCTTTGGTGGGGACCAAACCTGGGCGCGCAAGCCGCTGCTCCTGCTTCGTTTTCAGCCATCTGGGGACCCATCCGTGCCCGCACCCAAGGTCACTCCGGCGAAAGGTCACTCTTACATCTAGTCGACTACAGCACACCGCGACTCACCACACACCCCACGACGCCCGACAAGCTCTGTCCGCCGGCGTAGCAGGAAGAGGACACCTTCCCGGCATCCGCGAAAAGCGCGGTAAACGCAAGCACATACCCGCATGCGCGCCACACACGCGAAACGAACGCGAAGTATGATTTCCTGGCGGGGGCATCCTCTACAAATCTTCCACGCTTCCACACCCGCAATCCCGAATACAAATGTGCAGACCCCTGTGCAAGAGCTTCTGTCAGTTAGGTGCCCGCTCTGCTGCGCATGCCTCCCTCCCTCGGCCAGACGGGATCGACAAAGGAAAAGCCAGGAGGTCAGGAGGGAAAAATTCACACAAGAAACAATCGACGGCTGATGGGGACGCATGATCTGTCTCAGGGGACGCATGACGGGAACGCATGATGTGCCTCGGGGGACGCAAGAGCAGCAAGACCTCAGATGGGGGCGCATGATCTGGCTCAGGTCGTTGACCGCGGCGTCATCCTGCCCAGAGTACAGCCTGCCGTGTCGCCTGCAAGATGAATCAACGACCACACCGTGGAGCAGTGGGACGACGCACCATCTGTAGTTAGGTCGGGCCTGTCCCCCTATACAGGAGGATTTGGGGCGAAAAATTGAAAACATCGTCCCCAAATTATGTTTTGACTATTTTTGAGCACTCCTCCTGTAAAAGGACAGGTCCGACTCAAATCTGCAGCGTCATAAAGAGCCGACCAAGAGGACGGACACAGTCGGCACCCGCGAGTGCAGCTCGGACGCTGGAGCAGAGCAGCAGCAGGCGGCGGCAGACGGCGGCAGGCACGGGAACCAAGAGGTTGCACGATAATCCAACGACAACAGATCTGTGAAGGGGCCCTGGGGCACTCAAACTGAAACAGGCACAGATACCAGGAATCCCCATAGTTTCCCAGATGTTTTGGGTTTTTGTCTCCTTACACTTCCCATAGTTTCCAATATTTTCTGGGGGATCGACGATTCCATGTGTCTGTGGGCTGTTTCCCTCTTGAAATCTGGCACGACGAACGATCTCTTACCGAAACGGCACGGGCCGGTGAACGGACACCGCAGAGCGGACCAGACGGGCCAGGCCGATGCTGCGGCTGAAGATCGTCCCTCTTCGCCAGTGTCCCGCCGCTGTGTCATCCTCCTTCGTATCATCGCGTTCCTCCTTCGTATCATTCTGCTCCTGCTTCCTATCACCCTTCGTTCGTATCAGCCAATGCTGCGGCTGAGCATCGTCTTTCTTCGCCGGGGTTTCTCTGTCGTGTCATCCTCCTTCGTGTCATCCTGCTCCTCGTGCCTCCCAAGCGCGACCCGAACCTCGTGGAAGAGAACGGAGGGACAGACGCCCAGGCGACGGACCCGGAGGGCGGCGCGCTGTGGGGCCGCAGCCCCTCGCATGATGAGGCTCACGGAGCACAGGGCCCTGGAAGAGGGAAGAGAAGACGGGGGTTCATTTTGAGGGGGTCGAGAAGGATGATTAGGTTAGGTTAGGCACGCCGCTAGCCCCGCCACCTCCCGCTGGCACAGAAATCCCTGCACGACACGGCGAGCCCGTGGAATCACATCATCCATTCACTTCCACCGCCGCTCGTCGGCCATTTGGGCACGGTGGGGGCCCACTCCCAGGTGCCAGGGTCACGGGCACACTGGGGTTCACGACGGGCGGGCGAGCGGCGGCGGCGGCGAGGGACTCGGAAGGCGGAGCCCCTAACACGTCGCTGGCAGACGACGGGTACATCTCCTCATCGTCGTGAAATAACTCCAGTTCAATATACTCTCCAGCGGGCTGTACCAATGCCGTCGAGGATGAACTTGCTGCAAATATTTGTGGTTGTCCAGCCTGCTGCAATCTGGACTCGGCCTCTCCGACAAATTCGCCACGGTCGTGCTGCACATCAGTGTCGTCTGAATCAAACACCTGCATTTGATCTGCGTCCAGACCAGGTACTGCGTCAACTACACCTGCTGGATGTGGCGACGCAACTTGCTCCACTCGAGAAGCTCCGCCCCGTGCATGAGCGACCCCATGTCCTGGAAGCCTTCTCATAACTCGACGTCGTGTACGTGGAGGAGGTGGCTCGGCAATTGGCGGTGGCGGTGGCCGAATATGTTGCTGCGGTACACGTGGAGCAAGATGTTCCAGATCGTGCATCTGCCTGACTAGCCTGGCTTCTTATGCTTCCAGGGCCGCCTTCGGCGGGCCTTTGTAACCAGGGTATCTTCCATCGCGAATGCAGTTCAACGCGCCCTGACCTCCTCGCACTTCTCTTTCAAACCCTTGCCTATCGTAGTGCCATGCGCCGCGCATTTGGCACATAACAAAGGGCTGGACTTCGTCCATGCACTGGCAGTGCGTGTCAGATGGAGACTGCACTTGCCCGTAATGCGACCACCCTTGACGTCGACTATCTCACTGGCGGTGACGAAGGTGGTCTCGCACGGTGTCCGCGGACTCCTGCAGGGCGTCCGCGGTAACGCGCTGCCTGCAAGCCGTGCAAAACCACTTATGCTTTAGCTTGGCCATGTCGTGATTTGACTTCTCGGCCATGACTTTCGCTTTACCGATATTTACTTTGAGCTTGGCTGTCGACGGTTGTTCGGCGCACCAAGGATCAGCGTCCGCTGAGTCGGCCAGCGCTCGTCGTGCTCGGAGTCGAACTTTGGCGCAAATCGCGCCCCGCTCGTCCGTGCGCGGCAGCGGTTGACGTACCCTTTCCCAAGACGCCTCTGCTGCCACTGTCGCCAGTGCATCCGCGAAGCAGTTGCCCACCGCGAAACTCGGGTTGACCACTTCCGCCTCGTCGCCGCCCTGATGGGAAGGTGCTCGCACCACCTCGATGTGCCGCTGCTCATTCACCATGATGGCTCGCTTGATGCGTGCCCATATCTGCATTCCTACCGCTGGGTCTCGTGCTTTGCCTTTATTCCAAGCGTTGAGCAACGGGTAGTGGTCCGTGACGTAGGCGATATGTCCAATAGTCTCTTCGGTCGCGATCGCGAAAGCTGCGGGCTCTGCCCTCGGCACCGTCTGCCGCCGCCCAGGTAGATCTGCCATCGTGCCGGCTGTCATGTTCCACTCCCCGTCGGTCATCTGCATGGCTGCTACTCCGACGCCGACCCTTCTGCACTCGGGATCTGCTCCGCGTGCCCCCCCCGATCCGCCTCCAGAGATGCGCTGCGCCAGGGGGTCTGGCTTGCTCGAAGGAACCAAACCTGACGTAGTCCTGCCTCCCGAAGTCGGAGACGACCGGGCGCGTGAACTCTTTCGGCGGAATGCCTCGCAACCGCCGCGCTGGGTTAGCATCCGCCCTTGCCAGCGCTTTCGTTACAGGGCAATATGTCTCCTCATATGCCTCGCTCCGCTTGTTACAAGGGCATGTGTAGATACTATGGAGAAGGGTACCTGGCTCCTGTTTGCACCGACCGCAGATTCAGAATCGCATTCGTAGCCGGCTCGGGTTTGTCGAACTCGTGGCCTTGTCCACCTCCAACGACGACGTTGTTGAGAGCCCAATCGCGCCAATCAGCCTTGTCCGAGCGCCGCTTTGTTCCCTGCCGATATGCCAGATGTCGCCTCCATTGTGCAAATCCTCGCCATGTAGGTGCGCGGCCGCTTGCTTCCACCTCGCCGCGTCCAAGTCGGTCTCGAGATCTCCCAGTGCTGACTGAACTGGCCCCCACCCTGCCGTGCTAAGAATCGCCTGCACAGCGGCGACGGGTCCATGAACCTTACGCCACACCGTAGTGCCAGCTCGGAGAAGGGTTCGGTACGTCGGTGCCCAGATCTGCCGCATTCGCTTGTGAAGTTCTGGTGGAAAAGCCATTGGCGCAGCCATTCGCTAACCAGCTGCCGTCGTGGGGATATACCAGGGTCTGTGAGATGATATGCCACCGCCACTGCCATTCCAGTAGATAAACAACACCCCGGGCCTAGTCCCGCAGCCGATCGCATGGCCATCCGTCGAAGGCGCAGTGCCCGACTGGGTGCTACCCCCCAGACCTCATGCCCGAACGTAGCTTGAGGTGCCGCACCCGTCGAGAAGAGGCCCTGCGCGATCTTCGCGACGCCGGTGGCCATGCGCCGTAGCCGAAAGATCTTGCCCGCGCGCTGCTTGGCTTTCCTTTCTCGCGCTCTTACCTTGTTGCTGTTTTGTTTTAAAAAACGCTCGCCAATGCCGCTGACGTCGGCGCCCAGGCCGACCATGTCCGCTTGGTGCTTGCCTGGGAGCCCTCGCTGTGCTAACCTGTTCCAAATCCGTCGTCGTTGCTGAGGGTTGGATGCCGCCAGTGCTGCCTTCGGTGAAATCTTGAGATTCCTGCTTCCTGTCTGTTTAGTAAACTCGTCCGCGAGCTCCGCCATCTTGTGTTCCACTACCTCTTCGGGGCCTTCGACTCTGCCAACGGCGTCGCCGATGCACGTCCAAAGCCCAGCTGCCTGCGCGCGCTCCTGGGCTGCATCAAGGGGAGGGAACAAATGAACTTTTGCAAATCTGATGCCTTGAGCCGATCCTGCGACAATGGAGCTGGTCGGGCCGATTCTGGGTCCAATCCAATCAGTATATTTGAAGCGCCTCGGCCCCAAGACAGCTTCCACCCCCAATGCCATGACAGCCGGTGTAAATCCCAATTGAATGCCAGCATTTATCAACAAACCAAGATCCAGATAATCGTAGAACTGCTCCATGTCAGCAAAGAGTCCTGCGTGCGCGATCCCCATGGCTTGTCCTGCCTCGTCCAGGGTCGCACGTAAAAGCGCCGCCCTCAACGCCGACGAACCTCTGGGCGCAGTGTCCCAGTGATCCTCTTGCTGCTGTGTCCATTACTCCACTGCGCCTGACCGCGTTCGGGGCCAGATCCGTACTGTCATAGGCAGTCGCCCCAGAACTCGGTCACCTCCTGCTGGTTTGCTTGCGATAGCGCCGATAGTGCCGAGGATCTGCCAGGGGCCACATGAGGTTGAGTTCCGACTCGTGAATGATGTGCAGGTGCGCGAGCTTGCCTTGGTCGGGGAGCCGCTCGATGTCCAGGGGGCCTATGCCGTCGACGCCTCGAGCTTTCTTTACCCCTTCCGCTTAGTGGCCGCGCTCATGTCTTGCAACCCGAGCTCGGGGAGTTATTCTAGCTGAGCTCGCTGACGACATAACTGCAGCGCTGACATGAGTGCTTCCTGCCTCTGAGGTGTTGGTGTCCACTTGTTCGCCCACGTGTCGCTCTTATGCTGCATAATCAGTATCGGGTCCGCCACCGTGGTGCCCGATATCATTTCCTCCAAGCGGGGTGGCGGGGTGTCCTTTGTCCAGCGATGTAATTCCCCTGGCGTCTTCTTCCATATGTCCTGCGCCCACGCAATGAAGCCCTTGCGCCCATCTGCTAAAGCCCGTCGTGCAACTTCGCCTGCGAGTTCAGTGGTAAGCTCGATCACGTCCTCGCGTTCCTGCTTGACTGGCCTGAAGATGTCGTTCGCGTGCTGCTGCCAATGGTTCGTGGTCTCGACCTTCTTATTCTTGCTGACGCCGTGGATTTGCTGGACTCGTTTTGAAAATATTGCTTTCTCTCTGCCAACTGTCCGGGGTCCTTCATATGTTTGACCAGGCCGTTGACGCAATCACGTGTGTGTGTGGGTAATCGCCCACCAGTCTGCCTCTGGATTGTGATGGTGAGGCCGTCCTGGTGCTGCCGTGCTCTTGTTCCATTTGATGCCAAACCCTTTCGCCCTGCCCCGAAAGCCGTCTCGTTGATACGATGGTACTTCCGAATGTTCCACTACTGCAAACTCCAATGTAGTGAACCACCTGCCGTAGAGAGTCGCCATCTGCTGCACAATCTGAGGTCGCTCCCGGTAAGTCTGCGGTCGCCATCGCTCATCTCGTACCCATATCTCTGGTGGGGCCTCTGCCGTGGGAGGCTTGTAAGAGGGCGTGGGAGAGGGCGTGGGATCGCGATGCATCCAGGAGCCCCCGCTGGGGGCAGCGTCAGAGGTCCCAAGACTCAGGACGGTTCGCTGCTTCAGCCAGTTATTTGTTGGCGCAGCAGAGCTATTTGACGGCCGGGCCTCCTGGCCAGGGGGCTCCTGGGACCTGGGATCCAGCTGGGGTTCGTGGCGACGGTTCGGAACGGCGTGAGGCCAAGATCCGACGTTAGACAGTCCCAATTTGGCGTACTCCCACGTGTCGCTGGTGATCGCGAACGGAGCAGTCGTAGGAGGAGACGAAGTTGAACCGACCGCCTCGCTCGCCTGGAATCTGTCGGGAGCCACTGGCTCAGGGTCTTGACCAAGTAAGTCGGAACCGTCTCCGACATCTGGTTCCGGGTCGAGAAGGAGGAAGAGGAG